CTAGCTAGTTTCAATTTGGAAAACTTTTTCATGGTGATTTCAAAAAAAACTATAGAAGGAGATGCTATGGGATAATTAGAACACTCTTGGACACTATGGAAATTGCTTCTCTTTGAGTTTTGTGAGAATATTTATTTCTCTGATTTTCATTAGTGAAGATTCATAGGGTTATTTCTTAAGAGTTCAGAGAGATTGTGAGGAGAGATTGAGTGGAATTGTATAACAGAAATCTATAAAAACTTTTATTTAGCGGATAACAGTATATTGCAGGTATCGATTGACTCAGGTTTGAGTTTTCTTTATTTCTTGCATTGTGTCGTTTTTATGCCCGCAATAACAATTTTCAGGTTTTCTTTTCTCATGCGTAATAGTTAATCTTATTTCATACTCTTCTGATATAAGACATGGTATTCTCGATGTTTTCTCCTATGAATTTTATTCCCTAGACGTCGCTTTCTTGTTTAGATTTTATATATAGATGTTTTAACTTTCAAGTTTTAATTTACTTCGAATCTGACCCGACAGAATATTAAAATCTCTTGTGAACAGATCCAGAAAGGCTAGTATGGAACCAGCCAACCGGCACACCCCAAACTTCCAGTAGTCGAACGGTGAAGCAAGAGGGGATGAAAAACCCTGGTGCAGCCGCAAAAGATTCCTGCACTTGGTAGGACCCACTAAGGCTCTAATCATGTACAAAAATAGAAGAAGGGGAGCTTAGGGGAGAAAATTCGAAGTGTTTTTGGGAAGGTTATATTAGGGCTAATAACATAGAATTTGGTTATATTTTGTGAGCGATGTAGCTTTTCTTTTCTCCTGGTGTTCCTAGTGGTGTCTAGGACTTGTAGAGAAAAGATCTACCTCTCGAACAGTAGATTAACATTGTATCTTTTTTATTTCATTGGTATTGGTAAAATCAGCCATTTTTAAGTTTCTGCACCTCTATTGCAATTTATTCGTTGTTTAGTCACTATTTTCGGTTCTAAATCGTATCACAACTCTCACACGGTGGTATTGCATTTTAACTTTGATCACATTGTATCTTTTTTGCTTTCGTTGGTATTAGTAAAATCGGTCATTTTTTGAGTTCCTCCACCTATCTATTACAATTTATTCGTTATTTGGTCACTATTCTTGGTTCTGAATCAGAGCACATCTCTCGCACAGTGGCATTACAGTTTGACTTTTTTCACACTTCTAGGGATGATAATTGTGATTTTATAACACCTAATGAAAATTGTGTTGCTATTTATGTCACAGCTTCATCAACTTTTTCAGTCTCTTAGGCCGACTTTGTTGATCACAAGGAAGTCCCCACAAACTGTGCAGCAAGCCAAAGTCATGTGGATGAGACAATTAGATAGTAGAAATATGATTATATTCCTTCGAATTTATAAGAAAATTAACAAATTCAAAAAACTTGACCAACATTCTCGGTTGCTTGGGCCCTACTGATTTTGAAGCCTTTCACTTCTAGCAACTTGCTAGGAAATTAGACATTAAATTTACTCAACCACTTGCCCTACACTTGACTCATCATTAAAAGTTTTATAGAACCATTTAATGGTTTCTAGAAATTGCCAAATTGTCATGAATAGCATTTTTAAAAAATCAAAATAAGAGATATCACTCCCATGTGAAAATCACCATATTGAAATAATAAAGTAAAAAGAGAGGAAAATCAATGGCTAAGGTTGGTACTTCATGACACAATTATGTTAATAAATCATAGAAATACTTTCTTCGCGATATTGGCCGCGTTAGTTTTAGAGTAGAGATGACTGCTTTGAGACACATTTTTTTTCTATGAAAAAAGAATTCAAAGGATCCTTCCTTTGGAGGAATTTGAATGCAATGACCAATTCTAAAAAAGGGCTGCAGAATTCTATAAACTATCCTCTTCAAGTGACCCTCCGTCAATGTCAATTGCCCAATAGTGAAGAAATCTTATAGCTTAAATATTTCTCCTTTTTAATAGGAAGCTCAATATTTTAGCTTCTTGTCTTATGTGTCTTCTATGCCCATCATACCTAAACGATGTTAGATTAAAATGTATTTTTAAGTATCACTAAAATCTTATGACCAAGCATAAGTTGACCTTGACAAATAATAAAAAAAAAAGATGACAGATAGAGAAAACAAGAATAAGAAAGAAAAAATTTGAGAGAGAAGCAATCAGAATTTCACTTTTTTTTGTTTAAGGGTAAAAACTAATATAATGAGTCAATTGGAATGTATCAAACTCAATCTTTAACGTAAATCAAGTCAAAGTTTAGATTTATAGGTGTTGTTTGCCGGTAAATTTGCAGTTTTAGAGTGATGTATAAACATCTAGTTTTATAAAAAAGATTTGACACACCCACAAAAATAAAAGAAGAGCTGATGGAGAGAACACCAAGGGTTTTACGTGGAAAAACAAAATGTGTAAAAACAATAGTGCCCAACACCATTGATATGATTCCACTATACCGATGTATTTTAGAAGGCTTTATCGGTAATGAATAACTAGAAGTATATTACAAAAGTGAGGTTATCGACATGACTTCCACTAAGTAAATGGCGAAATACGTTGGGGGAAATGACGGTGACCCGGCTGTCATGAAGACGAATGGTAGAGGTCGTGTGCCAGAAAATTTGATGCCAGCATTGTCAGTAGTAGTAGCTTGACGACGGTGGTCAGACAGTGGTGGCCTAGCGATGGTCCGAAGACGATGTGATGGTGGTAAGGCAACAGTGATCTGGTGGTAACGGCGACCAGATGGCAGCGGTGCGTCTACGACTATGGCGGTCAGGCAACGGTGATCTGGCGATGGCGACAACCAGACTCTTGTGGTATGGCAATGACGATGGTCTTGGTGGAGCAACTGTAGTCCGACAATGGTGGCAACCAGATTGCTATTGTTCGGTGCGAGCAACGGCCAAATAGTTGTGATCAAGCAATGGTGGTATGAAAACGATGGTGGTCCGGCAGCGACAACAGTGGCGGTCAGGCAAGGGTTGTTTGGCAAAGTCGCTGACCAAACGATAGTACTCAGATGGCAGCGACGATGGTTGACGTACAAAGGTTGTCCAGCGATGGCAGAACCAAATGGTTGTGGTCCTGTAGAGGGACGATTGTGGCGTATCAACAGTGGGTCGATGATGGCGGCGGTGATGATGGTTTGGCAATAATGGCGCAACAATGGAAACAGTCTGAAGGATGTGATCCGGTGCAGTGGTGATGGCTAGATAGTGGCGCTTAAGCGATGACAATGGTAGTGCTCTAGAAAAGATGGTTGCAACTAAACGGCCGTAGTTCGGTTGTGGCGATGATGGTCTAGCAAAGGTGATGACTTGATGGTTGTGGTTTATGGCAACAATAGTGGTTTGGCAATGGTGGTGACTAGATAAAATTAGTCTGGTGACAGCGATGGTGGTGGATAAGCAATGGTGGTTCTGAGATGGCTGCGACTAGAATGCAATGGTTCAACGGTGGCAATGGCCAGATGGCAGTGGTCACGTGGCGGCTATTATAATGGTCCAACAATGGCAGCGACCTAACGAAAATGGTCCAGTGACGGCAACGCTGGTGGCCTAGCAAAGATGGTTAAGCGATGGCAGTAACCTGAGTCAAGTGGTATAGCGATGACGAGGATGGTAGCCAGGCAACGATGGTCCAGCAATGGCGGCAGCCCGACAACTATTGTATATTGGCGAAGATGGCGATGGCTAAACAGCAAATGGTCCAACGACGACTACAACCAGACGACGATGGTCTAATGACGATGAAGGTGGTCTAATGACTGCAACAGTGATTTTATGGCAATAATGGTCTGACAGCGACGATAGTCGGATAGTGGTCCAGCAACGACTATGGTGGTAATTGGATAGCAATGCTCTCGTGGTGGACGAGCAACGATGGTCCGACAATGGCGAAGCTCGGGAAACCTCAAGAGCTCGGAGCTCATTCAGACCCCCCCCCATCCCCTTCATGAAAAAGTAGGGGGTCAATTTGTAGATTTTACGAGTAAAATCCTCCGTAAATATTGCATGAATTCGGACCACTCCATTGCTCGACCGACAGAGATCCTCTTGATCAGATATATTTTTATGAGTCTTTGAATGCCTTGATGATATCGAAATCAAGTGATCTAAGACTCGCTAAATTTTTCTTGTCGAGACATTCGATTTGACTATTGAATATGTCAAATTTGAAAATCATTCCGCCCCTCAAAGATGTTCAAAAGCTTCTCTTTCTGCTTTAAGTGCATGATCTGGGCTCCCTTTGACTCATATCATACTAGTTTATATGTCATTTGGTTCATCTCACCAAGACACTTCATTTAATCATAAATTAGAGTATAGGCATTTCTAAATTTGATTTTTAAAACTTCTAGCCCTAATGTACATCGAGATTCCTGTGAATTAATATGATTTTTTTAGGGACGTATCAACATAAATGGCTATATTTGAGTAACATAAGTAAAACAACATGGCAAGACTTATAAATGCTAATTGTTGTAAGAATAATGGTCTTCGAGCTCATAATTGTCCAAATACTTGATGAGATCATTAATGATTGAATTTGTTTAGCAAACACACTCAAGTTCAAAAGCTAGTTGCCTTGGTCAAAATTGCGAGTTCAAAGTTTACCCCTAATGGGCAACTACCTCAAGTTGGCATACTTCAGCTGACTAATTCTTCAAGCAAATAGACCCACTATTCTAGTAAATTTAACAGAGAGATAAGTTAAAGATTTAGTGAAATTATTTGAAGAATAGAAAATTGCAAAATCCAATTGGAGGCAACATAACTTGATTAACACGAGCCAAGTGATATTGGGTGCACAAAATCACAGCTGAAAAATCCAAAAAGACTATCAAAATTCTTTAGTTTACTACACATTAATGTTCCACATATTTTTCATTGCTCTCCAAGAAGCACACAAGCATCCAGCAAATAAATCTTCAAAAAAAGTAAAATTCTGCAGACAAAAGATCAATTATAGCATTTGAGTTTACCTGAAATCCTTTATATTTGATAAGCTCTTTAATACGATCTACAACAAAAAGCTGTCCACTTTCATCAAAATAACCAAGATCGCCTGTGTGCAACCATCCTTCACTGTCCAAGGTTAATTTAGTAGCCTCTGGGTTATTTAAATAGCCTGGATGAATTTGATGTTAGAAGCTAACAGCTCTAGAACAATATTATCAAATAAAAGGATGAATGAACTTACAGAACTATAAGATTATTTTTAGGTTATGTTTCAAAACTGAGATGATCTTTGTGTTCAAAATGATAATCTTCACAATGACACCAAAGAAAACAAAGAAGCCTACTTGATGTTGATATCCTCTGACTTTTGTTCTAGTTATCACATAATCGTGCAATGAAGATTTTGAAAGCTACCAGATTAAGAGTTTATCAAGCCTGTCTAGAGCATAACTCAAAAAATAAATGGATGAGAAATTTCTGAATAAATTTGATTAATTTTAAAAATGATGAATTTACTTTAAGATAAATATAAAATAAAATTTAATTGATTACACATATATGACACTAATTTAATAACAAATTAAAAGATTAGACTCTCTTTTTTCTTCCGCATAGAAAAAATGTTTACCATGCATTATATTCGGTCCTCGAAAGCATAACTCTCCAAGCTGATTGGGAGGAAGAGGCTTTTGAGTGTCTACACTAATAACTTTACCAACAACTCCCGCAGAAAGGAATCCAGTTGAACCAAATGGGCGATCCTTTCGTTGAGGGTACTCCAGTGAAATAATTCCGCAAGACTCAGTCAAGCCATATCCCTGTTCACGAAACGTGAAGGATTAAAATGGAGAATTTTCCTCGCAGTCAAATTCAACAATATTTTTTTAAAAATTTTCTCGCTAGGCCACACTTGACCCTATTCAAAAAAGGTAGTCTTAACTTCACAAATAAAAATTTTCTCGCTAGGCCACACTTCTATTAGAGATGGACCCTATTCAAAAAAGGTAGTCTTAACTTCACAAACAGTGAAACAGGGAGTCGAAAGTCAAGATCCATCTTGTTTTCTTTTGTTTTTTTATTCTTCTCCTCAAGTCAAGGTTGGACAAAAGCATCATAAAAATTCAAACTATGCTGCACCACCTAACAGTTATTCGAATTTTTTTTTAATAAGAGAGCAAAAAGAGAATTTCAAGCGACTCGCAGATCCTAGAAAAAGAAAAAAAAAAATCTTCCTCTTTGCTAAAGAGTAATGGGAAATCAAACATAGCGAAGGCAATAAACAAACCAGGCACCCCTATCCTTATAAATTTAATCCAACAGAAACTGCATCAATTTCCACCACGGCAAGAATCTAACCTGAATAATCTCCGCACTTGGGAAGGCCTTGGCTACCTCCTCCATCACATCCTTTCCCAAAGGCGCCGCTCCTGAACCAATAACCTTCAACGAGCTCAAATTGTATTTTGCCGTTTTGGCTTGCTTCGCTAGAGCAATCATAACTGGCGGGACAACAAAAGTATAGTTCACCCTATACTTCTCGATTGATCGCAGCATTGCCTCCATCTCGAACTTTGCCATCAATACTAAGCTATTCCCTCTCTGCAACTGCGCGTAAGCAATGACCGACAACCCAAATACATGGAACAAAGGAAGGAAAGAAAGAAAAGTGTTAGGTGGGTCGCCCAACAGGTCCTGGTCCCCAGAAGCCATCATAGAGGCGCAGATAAAGTTTCGGTGAGTCAGCACGACCCCTTTGTTCACCCCTGTAGTGCCGGACGAGTAGAGCAGCGCGGCGATGTCCGATTGCCTGATGTCAGGCGGAAAGTACTCCGCCTCCGGCATAGACATAAGATCAGAGAAATAGTGGATCGGCGCCTCAGAAGTGACCATTTCGGAGGGAAGCTTTGAGCCAAAAAAAATGCTGGGGAGGCGAAGAGATTTGACCTTGTCCCATAGCTGGGGGACAGTAAAGATGAACTTAGCGCCGGAGTCTTTAGCTTGTTTGGAGAGCTCGGCGGCGGTGTAGAGAGGATTGACGGTGGTGGCGATGGCGCCACATGCGATGATGGCGAAGAAAGAAACGGCGAAGTGGATGGAGTTGCCTGCAAAGATGAGGATCACCGAGCCTTTTGAGATGCCAAGGCGGTGGAGTCCACCGGCAACGGAGTAGACGGATGAGCGGAGCTGAGCGAAGGTGAGGGTTTCATTGGAGTTGACGTCGGCGATGGCGAGGCGGTTAGGATAAGATTTGGCGTTGCGGAAGAGGAAGCTGACCATGGAAAGGCATGGATCTGTGGGGAAGGAGACAGGCGGTCGTGGTGAGCGATAGACGCCTTCGGGGCTGTAAACGTTGCCGGAGAACGGCATCTGTGTATGTGGGTGCTAGCGAGAAAGAGAGAGCGAGGTAGGTTGTTTGACCCTGTATTCGGTGCATCATTTTAAAATTTTTTATTTTTATTTAAAAAAAAACATATCATCATTATCGTAGATTACCGTGATTACCGTGATCTACAGTATAAATCGGGCAATAATTTTTCGGGACAAGGATGGGGACGGGGACGGGGACGGGGATGGGGGAACTATATAAGCAGACCCAATATTCTCTCTCTCTCTAGTGGGAAGACGGGGAGGGACAGCTGTTCTCGCCAACTGATTAGTTTTAAGCAAAATTATCAATTGCCAAGCAGATATATATGTTGCCACGTGTTGCTGGTCTTGAAACTAAGGGTCTGTTCGGTTGTTTGAGGCCTCTGTTCCCGCCAACTGATTAGTTTTAGGCAAAATTATCAATTGCCAAGCAGATATATATGTTGCCACGTGTTGCTGGTCTTGAAACTAACGGTCTGTTCGGTTGTTTGGGGCAGCTGCAGCTTTTCAGCTTTCGAGCTGTACACTGTCCCAGAAAGCTGCAGAAAACCAACACTCAAAATTTATAAAATGCAGAAAAGTTGTTTGTTTGTTGAAAAATGACAATTTTATCACTGTTTAACAAAACAATTTGTGAGATTTTCTTTTTTGTTAGCATGTCGTCTGAACCAAATTCAAAATTTATAAAAAAAATATATTATAGAAATACATTTTTTTAGTATATATCATTAGAAAACCAACACTCAAAATTTATAAAAAAAAAATATTATAGAAATACATTTTTTTAGTATATATCATTGTAAAAAGTTCTTCTCAATAAATATCATTGCTCCAAAGAAGCTCTAATCTCTCCATGCAAACCTCAAACTTGCAGAAACCAACACTCAAATATAAAATTCCTTCATCAATTTCTCACATAAATATGGCTAGCGAAAGGGTCGGATCCACTTATGTTGCTATCTCTCCAGACCTCATAAACACGAGGGGCATTCTCAATGCTCGCAGCCCCCGCAGTAGCAGACGCCTAAGCAGAAGGAAGTGTTCGTGCATTCTGTTGGCCTCTCCCTATCAAAGAACTGCGAGAGACTAGGGAGCATAAGACGGAGCTGCTTTAGGGATGCTAGGGCAGACGAGGTTAGTTCATGCATTTGCGGGATGGAGCTGCTTCGACAATGCTAAGTAGTGCATTCACGGGACGGAGCTGCTTCGGCAATGCTAAGTAGTGCATTCGCGGGACGGAGCTGCTTCGAGGATGCTAAGGTAGAAGAGTTCGATCGCGAGAGATTGGTGAGCGCAGGGCAAAGGCGGTAAAAAAGTCAATCGATAATGCGGGCCGCGGCCTATTTTAGCGGCGGTCGGCTGCGAATGTTGCATCCAAATGATAAATTCTATATCGGCTTCGTGGTTTGGGGCCGCGCCGAGCGAAATACGCGACCCCAAACAGAGCTTAATTCGGCGAGTCGAGAGAACATTATTTGTGTAATTCGTACGTGTGAGTGCAGATTGGGAGACTTATCCCTCAATTGTATCTTAAATACATTTTATGTATATTCCAAAATTTATCTTAATAAACTCCTTTCTTGATAGGGATGGAATTAATTTTAGTTTTTAAACGAATAAAACTATTTAACTTTTAATTTATTAAGTATTAGACAAATAAATATGATAGATAGCAAAATTATAAAATTATCTGGACAAAAAAGAAATTAAATTTTATTATTTATATAATCAAATCTCTAATTTCAGTGTGACAATTGTACACCCTCAATATAACCAAATTCCTCCTCCATCATCTATGGATTTGGCTGCACGTAATATTTTTTTCGAGTCGAACAGGTTTTAACCGAATTCCGCCTCCATCATCTATGGATTTCTCTGCACGTAATATTTTTTTCGAGTCGAACAGGTTTGACAATTGTACACCCTCAATATAACCAAATTCTGCCTCCATCATCTATGGATTTCTCTGCACGTAATACTTTTTTCGAGGACGGTTGAAAGTGGAACATAATTATAAAATGAGAAATTTTCATACCAAGCACATAATATTTATATATTTACATATTTCACATCTAAAACTTCAAATTTACATACATACAACTTTAATGCTTTAAACTATGAATATCAAAATTAACCACAATTTCTAGAAATAACACTAGGTAATAATTTACATCATAGTATCTGCCAAAAAAATATAACATTATCAAATATAAAATTGTTCATGAATCACATCCAACGAATAGAAAGTAAATAAGATGAGAAACATAGAGATGGGCGGAGGATATAGAGATTTTTTAGATGTTAGGTTTCCATCCCTCTTATTACAAATAATGCTCTTCTATATATAGATGAAAAGTTATTATGAAATGAAAATTATACCTAGTATATCAAAAATCTGACTACATTAATCTCTAGAATATTCAACAAACCACACAAAGAGAGCAATTGAGGTTCAAGCCATTTAACAACATTTCAGTCGGTCTAATAATAAGTCGACCGAATGAACATCCGTCCAAACTAAAGAACGTTGCACATCTATATAGCTGACTACTTAACTGATGCAATGGCATTCACAAGATCAACGGTCACGTGATGGAAATATTGTTTATCCTTCAAGGATGATTCATCACCCGAAGGAAGGCTTCTTATCAGATTGCAGTGACACACACTCTGCTTGATGGTATAACCCTTGCTAAGGACAAAGTGTCTTCACAGTGGACCCCCTCAGAAAAGTCAGCCAAGCGATTTTAATCGAAAGAGTGAAAGCTAAACGAGCAGATCGAGCAATTATGAATATAAAACTATGTCATGAGCAGTTACAAATATGGAACGAAGCCGACCATGGTTACTAGAAACAAAAGATGTCAAAGTTGGTTACAAAAATATAAAGATGTAATGACTCATAAATGTATTGTAACATTTCTATTGGGAGAGGGACAATCATGTAATTTATTAGATATTTCCTATGATCTATAAATAAGAGGGTCATTTCTACTTGAAAGACTACTAATCCAATCAAGGAAAATTAGTGTTATTTGTGTTGTTTTTCACTTACTTTTCTTCTATCATTTCTCAATTACCCTCTTCTGACTAATGCTTTATCCCTTGTGTTTGACTCAAAGAATAATTTGAGATTCAACATCCTAAAAGGCTTAGTGAGCGATCAGAGAGGGGAGAGTGTAGCTTCTTCCACAATCAAATCCTTAAGCACCCAAACCCTAAGGTGACCAGACGTCTCCAAAAGTTGAACGTATGGAAGAATCTCAATACCAAGATGGTGTTGGATCCATGCCGAGGATCAGGTTGCAGGAGGATCTAATAAAAGTGTACCACCAGCCAGAGAATGTGTTCTTCAGATAGATTATTGATGGAGAGCCCCCAAATAATTTAAGGTTCTAACATTAGAGCAATACAAGGGACAGATTGATCTGCTCGATCACATTGCATCTTTTGAGATATATGCCCTCTCAAAGTTTATGACGCATTAAAATGCTAGTTATTCTACACCACGCTTAAGGATACATCCCTCAAATGGTTTAACAGACTGTCCTTCAAGATTAGTACTTTTTTCAAGGTTTTCAGAAAGTTATTTACGGTGCAATTTTCCAATGCACAAAAGCTCTACAAGGATTCATTATCCTTGTGGCACATGAAATAAGGACTGAATGAGAACCTATAAGCATATGTTACGTGGTTCTAGAAAGAGATGCTCAAAGTAAAAAATACGAAGTTATCGATTGCAATGATCTCGCTGAAACAAGAGCTGATGAGACCTCATTTTAAGTATTTCTTGGGTTAGTGAAAACCTGAAACTTTGACCAAACTTCTGGATATAGACAACAACGATGTTGTAATGATGGAGTAAGTGAGCCTAGCTATCTCAGTTGGAAAATTTTTGACTGAGAGCCAAGTAAGAAAGGTTCGCGAGATGATGAGTGGAGGGAGAAGGATGATCCTCATCCTATGTGTGAAAGAGGTCAGTCATCTCGCAGGGATAAGGAGGCTGAGTGAAACACATGAAGATGCAGCTGATCAAATAATCTCTCAGCTACGATTGAGGAACGCTGAGACCCGCACAACTATGGGTCTTGATTGCATAACTGATGGAAACCATTCAGAGAAAGGAATACTTCCAAAAGGTCCCACCCATGAAAATTGAAGCCTTCTGTTGAAACACAAATAAGTACCGTAAGTGCCATAAGACCATGGTCACAATACAGAGGTGTGAAGACACTTTAATAAGTTTAGCTAAAGAGCTGATGTGGGTCGTGAAGCATAAGAAGTTTATGGCCTACAAAGCGCACAATTGGCAACAAGGGAAATCACCTGCAAAAGATGACACAGACGGGCCCATTCTAGTCAATGTTATCCACATTGCAAGAATATTACCTACAATATTAGAAAGAGATTTGGTCAGGAGATCCAATTGAAGGAGGACCAATCAAAAGAGTACCACACTGTGGCTTCGGTCTCAAAAAGGAAGCTCTAGCCCTCAATTTTTTTCACTGCTGCTAACTTAAGCCCTATTGGAAATCTTACACTAACGTCGACATTGTTATGACATTGGTTAACAACTACCATGTAGGTAATATTTTGGTTGACACGGGCAGTTAGGAGAACATACTATTTAAGGTCACTTTGATAAGATGAGTCATGTTGACCTCATTTTTGGTCATACCCCTTTTAATTACAGGAAGCTTGGTTAGACATCACTTGAGCTCAATATTGACTAAAGCCTAGAATTATTTATCCTTCAATGAATTAAGGCTCAAAAGCTCATTTTAAAGCTTGCATGAAGCTTAATATTAATAATAAAGACTATGCAAATTAATCTAACGATTAGTTGAAATTATTTATTGTAAGAGCCATCTACTAAACTTTTCATACAAGAAAATGGTTTACAGAAAATTTTTTCAGCGAGCCATTATTTTTTAAAATTGATTTAACCATTGCATCCACATCATCAAAATCGTTTGAATGAGTCTTTGGGTGCTCAATTTTGACCACATTTTGACACCTTTTGAGCAAACGATAATCAGGTGAGAAAAATGATAATGAAGAGAGATAACGTGATA